CTCTCCGCCTCGCCCGGGCCGCTGCGCGGGTCCCCCGCGGACGCCCCTGGGCCCGCCTCCTCCACGGGAGGCGCGAAGGCCGCCGCCGCCGCCGGCGGCTGTCGTCGTCGTCGTCGTCGTCGTCGTCGTCGTCGTCGTCGACTCTCATCGTCGACTCTCGTCGTCGAAGCCGCCGCCGCCGTCGGCGACTGTCGTCGTCGTCGTCGTCGTCGTCGTCGTCGACTCTCGTCGTCGCCGCCGCCGCCGCCGGCGTCGTCATCGTCGTCGTCGTCGACTCTCGTCGTCGTCGACTCTCGTCGTCGCCGTCGGCGTCGTCGCCGTCGCCGTCGTCGGCGGCGTCGTCGTGCTTTCGACGATGTTCGCGTGGAAGGCGTGTTTGTTCCGAGCGGAGGCGTAGGCGCGCGGGCTGCCGTCGTGGTCGTGAGTCCGCCAATGTCGTGCTCAGCTCGCCGATGTCGTCGTCGGTGGCCCGTGTTAGTCGCCGTCTGTCGGGCGTCGGTCGTCGGCCACTCGTCGGCTGGTCGGTCGCTCGCCCCCTCCGCAGCCAACCTTGGAGCGGGGCGCCTGCCACGGCCTCGGCTCTCCAGACGGAGGGGGGGCGGCGGCGGCGTTGGGCGCTGTTCGTGGCTCTCGGTGGCTCTCGGCGGCTCGCGCAGGCTCCCGGAGGCGCTCGCCAATCGCCGCGTCGCCGCCGCCGCCGCGATCGCAGGCCGACCTGCCGGCGGATTCGTCCGGCAATCCACGGCTCCTGTGACGCTTGAGGGCGGCCCGCGCTTGCTGAGCTGGTCGCGGAGTGCCACCTCAGCAAATCGCAGATCGCCCGTCCAGAACTTGGCGGCGCCCCCCACCGTGGGGAGGCGTGGGGGGGGGAGGGGCGGCCTTCTGAGAGGGCGGAGGGGGCTTCTTTGAAGGCAGAGGCCGTCCTCGCAGGCCCTGGAGGCTCCGAAGAAGGCGCCTCAGAGGCCGGGCGGGCTGCTGCGAAGGCCACCTCCCTCCTCAGCTGCCACGCCTTCTACTCAGCGCCCCCCCCCCCCCCGGGCGCAGCCCCCCCCGGAGCGCAGCAGGCACGGACCGTGCCATCTCGGCCGGTCTGCACGAGCGGCCGCCCTCGACTAGCATGCTCCTGCTGCCCCCATAGGCCCTCCCTTCCCTTCTCCTGCCCCTGCGCCCCGCTCCTCCAGGCCTCCTGCTCCCCCAACGCCGTCATCCTCTCCCTCCCGGACAATTTCCTCCTCCTTGCCGTCGCCCTGACGTCCCATTCCCGTGCGTGGCTCTTGCTCGAGGATGCTCCCCGATGGTCCTCGCCGAAAAATGCACACGTCCCAGCGATGCCAAGCCTCCTGCTGCGAGGGAGGGGGGAAGGGCGGCCTCCCTCCGGCCCGTTGCTCCTTCGGGAGCGCGAGACTCTTGCTCGATGCGCTGGTGCTCTCCAGGTCCCTCGTGGTTCGGTCGGGCCTGCTCGTGGTCCGGTCGAACATGCCGAAGCCGTTCGAGAGATGCGGGGCGACTGGGGTGAGGCTACGGTTGGCCTCACGATGGCTGTCGTCGCCGCCGCCGCAGCCGTCGTCGTCCGCGTCGTCGTCGCCGCCGCCTTCGCCGACAAGCTGACAAGGCTGTGGTCGGCGTCGCGACGACCGTCGCCATCGCCGCCGCCGCCGCCGTCAGCGGCACAGCCCTCCCCAGACATGCGACGTATTCACATGTTCAATACACTAGGAGCTCGACCACAAGAAACCTTCCACAAGAAGCCCAACCCTGAGACCCCAGGGCGTCCATGGATTTTTGGTATGGGAACGTCACGCCTTCCACAGCAACACCATCGGAAAACCCAAGAAACCCAGGGCACCCTGGAGGCAAGCAGGGTGTCTCTTGGCATGGGCCCCTACGGGGCGCCCGAAGTCCCGACCCTTTCCCTGGGGCCCAATTTTCCTCCCGCGTCGCCGTTGGCGGTCCTGCGGCCCGACGCGCGCGCCTGGAAACCGAAAACGGGGCAAAACCTGGTGCCGTGACTTTCTTTCACGACGCTGCCATGCCAGGGTTGTCGCCCTCGTCCTCGTCGTCGTCCTTGCTGCCGTGGCACAGGACGACGACGACCTGGACGACGACGGCACCGACATACGACATACGACACGCGACACGCGACATACGACGACGACGATGACGACGACGACGGCGAACGACGGCGGCGGCGGCGACGACGACGGCGGCGGCGACGGCCACGATATACGACATACGACATACGACGTACGACGTCGACGACGACGACGACGGCGACGACGGCGGCGACCACGGCGGCGGCGACGGCGACGACGACGGGCGCCTCCAGGTCGCAGGCGAAGCCAAGATCGGCGTGCGGCGACGGGGGGAAGGGCGACGCGGCGGGCGTGGGCGCCTCTCGCCGGAGAGGGGGCGGCAGGAGCAGGCTTTGGGTCGGGCAGGTCCTCCTACAGTGGGATCTTCGACGAAAAATAGGGAATACTCTAAACATAGTCCCAAATGGTCAAGGAATGCTCAAAACAAAAATCCCCATCTTATTTTTTGACTATTTTTGAATACTCCCCCTGTAGAGGGAAGGGCCCGACTCAAGGCTTAGGTCGGGCATGCCTTCCTGCAGTCGGATTTTGGAAGAAAAACGAAAGACGAGTCAAATAATATCCAACAATTGTCAAACATAGTGAGAACGTCGTCCCCAGACTATCTTTTTGCTATGTTTGAGTACTCCTGCTGCAGAGGGACGGGCCCGACTTAAGAGCAGGCAAACCCCCCCCCCCCGAGGGGGGAGGGGGGGCCTCCCGCGGCCAAGGGGGGGCGCCAGGGCGCGCGGGGACACGCACGCGGGGCGCAGACTAGAGGGCAGAACATCCTCCCCCACAATGATCACCCCGACACGCGAGGCCGTGTAGCAAACGCACCCAAGGAAGGAATCAAAGAAGGCAGGGCTGTTTCGAAAACGCCCAGGGCCGTTTAGTAAACGTCAATTGTCGGGTCCGGGTGGTTTTTCCTCCCTTGGCAGAGAGGCACGCTGGTACGGTGTGCTTCGAGTAGGGATCGGCTACAGAATGGATGTTTCCCAGAGCTTGATTTCCCCGCCGAATCGACGACCAACTGCGCATGATGTCCCGTAGATGCGCGGATAGTCGACGGGTTTCCTGCATATTCGGCGGGGGAATCAACTTTGGAGTACCATTCTGTAGTTGATCCCCTTTTTCAAGTGCTGATGTGGGAGGCGAACGTCCGACACGAGTATGCGGTACCCATTGTTGTGGGGGCAGGCGCAGGAACGAAAGCTGAAGGGGACGGGGCGGACCGAACGGAAGACCCAGCGAGCCGCCACAACGGGCACCCGGGCAACCCGAGGAAGCACTCATGCCGCAACTGAGACCCCTTGAAAGTCTGGCCGTGCTCTCGGAGCCCCACGCCTAGCGAACAACGGTCGAGACAGAGGGAGAAGGAGGAGGAGGAGGAGGAGGAGGAGGAGGAGGAGGAGGAGGAGGAGGGAGGAGGGGCAGGACTGACGAGCGGCATGGTCAGAAAAGGCGCCCGCCGCGGAACTTCTATACCGGAGTGGCTCTTGCGGGGCCGACGCACACACAGTATTGGTGTGTTTGGGTGGTGCCGGCGCACGCCTGAGCAGGCAGCCCCTGGGAAGTCCTCGCAAGAGCGATTAAGGCAGGGCGATTAAGCCGGATGTAGGGGCCATTGAGCCAGATCAGACCAGATTATTAAGCCCGGGATAAGAGCCTGATGGAGCGGAATGAAGCCGAATAGAAGGACATCAGATTCAGCGAGAGTAGGCCAGTCTTCGACCAGGGATATACCAGTGCCGATTCTGAATTTGACCTCCCAGGCGCTGCATCCTGACATCCACATCCGCTGCGCGCGGGATATCCGTTGGCGAGGCCTCGGGCCGCGCAAAGACAACCCCCCCCCCCAGGCAGACCCTGCTAGCCTCAACAGGCCCCCCCGGGCGTCTCAATGCCCTGGCGCGCCGACTCCGGCGGCGCCCCTGGGGCGCTCCGCGCCCCAAGACTGAGGTGTTGATACTCCAGATTTCGTAATAAAGGGACGGGGGGTCTCATTTCGGGGGGGGTCTCTTCCAGGCTATCTTGGAGGGCCTGGGGGGTCTGGGGACGATGTTTTGGAGGGTTCTCCCACGGGGGAGGTCTGAAATGGCTTGTCTTGGAGGGCCCAGACCCCCTCCCTTTTATTACGAAATCTGGAGTATACCTAGGTGTGGGGGGGGGGGCTGCCTGGGCGCAGCCCGAAGGCAGCCCATGAGGTGCCGCGGCCGAGGAGCCCGGCCAGGGAGGCCGTGGGCATCGGGAGGCCTCCCGCCCGCAGGCACGGGAGGGGGATGCTGGCACGGGGCGACTGGTGCGGACTGCCTACACCCCGCGAAATGCTTAAGAAATCATGGGTTAAGAAATTCATAGTCTCAGAACTTGAATAAAACCCAGAACTTCTATCAAAATCTTGGAATTGACATTGAAAAGTTAAGAATAATCGAGACTCTGGACGAAAACTGAGGTTTTCTTAAGCATCGCCTGGGGTGTACCAGGCCACCCCAACCGAACCCGAAGACCCGAATTTCGGGTGGGGGGGGTACGGGTTCCGCACGTGCTTCTCCAGTGTTCCCCGACCCCCCCCACTGGAAATAGAGAGAGCAAATCGGGGCCTTCGGAGTGGGTTGGGGTGGTTCGGTGGGCGGTGAGGTGCAGGGTGCGCTCCAGAGGACATGGGCCGAGGCCACGCTAACGGCGATGTGGCTCAGCGGCGGTGTTGGGAGAATCCGGTTCCTTCTGCGGCGCCGATCCCGCGCAGAGCAGGCTGCAGAGAGGCACGAACAGCGCTTTCCTGCAGCTGGGCAGGCCACGAGCGACGCCCACCTACAGCGCCGAGGCCTGCGTCGCCGTTGCCTACATTTACCAGCCTCGAACGTATCCCTATCCCTAAGATTGACACGCCAAAAGGCGATGACAATCTTGGGGATTGTCCTCAAA